GATGGTCCAAAGCCTTGGGACCCTGCACCCGCGTGGGAGACCGGGAAGAAGCTCCTGGCTTGGGCTTTGGATCGGTTCAGCTCTGTCCGTTGCAGTCAGAGTGAATCAATGGATGGAAGATCTTCCTCTGTCTCTCCTAGTCTGCATATCTGACTTTCCAATTAAAATAAAGTAAATCTTAAAAACAAAACAAAAAACAAAAAAACAGACATCAATAGACAACACAGACAGGGGCTGGGGCTCTCAAAGAGCAGGGCAGAACTGGGGTGCGCACCCAGACCTGCCTGACCCTAAAGCCCAAGTGCTGTCAGAAGCACTGCGCTGCCTCATGGTGTGTCCAGCTTAGCAGCCCAGGTCCCACCTGCGACAAGTCCCCAGAGGGGCACAGCCTCCTGGTCAGGCTGTGCCCGGAGCTGCGCATGTGCCTTCCTGTCTGGGGTCATCCTGCCCCCTGCTGGCCAACAGACAGCACTCCTCATCCTCCCCTTGGTGCCTTTTTATTGAACCTCAGACTCTTGTCCTTGCGCTTTTTAACACCTTTTTTTTTCATAAGGAGATTTAATTATTATTTGAAAGGCAGAGTTACAGAGCTCTTCCAACCACTGGTTCACTCCCCAAATGGCTACTACTGCAGGGGTTGGGTCAGGCAGATGCTAGAAGCTTCTTTCGGGTCAGCCACATGGGTTCAGGGGCTCCAGGCTTTGGGCCGTCCTTGATTGCTTTCCCAGGCCACAAAGAGGGAGCTGGATGGGAAGCGGGGTGTGGGGGGAGCTGGGGGACAGTGCTAAATGCCTATGCCTATGGAACCGTATCATGAAAAATAAATTAAAAAACAAAAAGCAGCCAGGATCCGAGCAATACCCACGTGTGACTCCAGCTTGGCAGACACAGCCCCAGCTGTGATTTTGTGCTTTTTTGTTTGTTTTTAAGATTTATTTTAATTGAAAGTCAGATTTAGAGAGGAGAGACAGAGACAAAGGTCTTTCATCTGTTGATTTACTCCAAGCGGCTGCAACTTCCAGAACCGAGATGACCTGAAGCCAGGAGTCAGGAGCTTCCTCTAGGCCTCCCATGTGGGTGCAGGGTCCTCAGGCTTTAGGCTGTCCTTCACTGCTTTCCCAGGCCTTAGGCAGGGAGCTGGACGGGAAGTGGAGCAGCCAGGAAGTGAGCCAGCGCCCATATGGGATCCTGGTGCGTGCACGGTGAGGATTTACTCACTGGACCATCGTGCCAGGACCCTGTGTTCTGGCTTGCTCCCAAAATGCTTGCTACAGCCAAATCCTGGCGAGGCAGGACAGAAGCCAGGCCATCACGGGGCCCCCCATCACCTGCTGTTGCCCTTGGTGTGCGCTCACAGCAAACAAGGCATCAGGAGTGGAGCCAGGACTGGGGGCCACACTCCAACACTGGCTGCCCAGCTCCTCGCTGCGGTGACACAGCCCCTGCGGCTGCTTCTCTTAAAGTCTCCCTGCTCGTCCTCCCATCCCCCTTTAGTGATCCTCACGCTTGATCACACAGCAGAACCCCCTGCGGCGTCAGCACAGTCACACAGGACGGGGCCTCCCCACTGCCTCCAAATCGGTCCCTCCGGGTCAGGGCCTGAGAACCTGCATTGCTCCCACATTCCCAAATGTACGTGTCAGCTAACTCCTGCAACTGAGGCTGACAGCCCCTCCCTCACAAAGTGCACACTCGGATGGGAGCTGGCTGGGTCAGCTAAGCAAGCGAGAATGGAAGCGTATGATTCATTTACAAGGGGCCTGCTGGGCTGGAGCATCAGCAGGGCATGGTAAGCACTTGTTACTGACACCAGCAGCTCATGTGGGTGCCAGTACCAGCCGCAGCCACAGCCGATCCACTTCCATCCCAGAGGACAGCAGAGGATGCTCCATCCCAGTCTTGGGTCCCAGCACCCATGTGGGGGACCACAATGAAGCTTCTGGCTTTGACCTGGCCAAAAAGTTGGTGGAAGGGAAGCAGGCCGGGGAGGGCACCCAGCCCTGGTGAAGTCAAGAAAGGTGGATAGACCAGAATTCCTGCCTGAGGCATCCGCCACCCCTCTTCTGTGGCCCCGCCCACCGAGCAACACCGACCAGCCCAGGGGCAGCAAGCAGCTTGGCGAGGGCAGCCATGATGCCACACACTCCATCGCATCGCGGAGAAACTGTGCCTGCCCAGGTCCCTCAGTGACCAAGGAGTGCCCTCCCTTGCAGTCCTGCCCCAAAGGCTGGGCGAGGTCCTGGGATCTCACAGGCGACGTGGGCAGGCCCGCCCAGGTCCCGACACCCCCACCGCTGGGAGCAAAGGCCCAGTGGTAGGGAGCGCTGGACATCCCAGTGCCCTCAGGGTGCTCGCTGCCCCCTGGGATGCCATGGGGTGCATGGCCCCAACATCTAGGCCGCCTGCCCTGGGTCCTGCTCAGCTCAGCATGCCTGTCTGGATGAAGACCATAACTCCCCAGGCAAAAAAGGGCAGAGCCGTCCACACCGGGCGGCCTGGCTGACCCCCAGGCCGGGCCCTCTCTAAACCCACAGGCCCAATGCCGGGCAGCCCAGCCAGTGGGGGGACCTGCTCTCGGCCCAGCAAGTTCCCCAAGCTGACCCACTCACTCAAGGCAGCGAGGGGCTCTCACCAGTCCTGAAGGAGTGGGCAGCCACGCAGACACAGCTCCCACAGGCCGGGGCCTTCTCCCCTGGCTTCCGAGCCTTGGGGAGGAGAAAAGTTCAACCGGAGCAGCCGGCCGAGAGGCCATGCACTTTGGGCGCGCAGCATCACCCTTGGGCGAGCGTGCTGCGTCACTGTGATTTATCCCGGAGGAAGGGGCTGCACCTGGCCGAGCCCAGGACCTGCGCAAGCACCCTCACCTGCGCGTGAAGCCGGTGCGGCCCCAACAGCCTACTTAGCAAAGCTGATGCACTTGGTTTATTGGGCGTGAACTGGGTATTGTGGTTTCACGTTTTCAGCTGTGAATTTTAATAAGATTTCTGATGAAAATGCAAATCCCAGACTGAGTTTCAACGCAGAAATTTGTAAAAAGCACATCAGGGATTTTAATAGAGCGATCACACACTGGAATGAGAATGTATCATTGGAAGTCACCTGGAGCAGGCATTGTGGGACAGCGCCCACAGGGACCATCAGGGTGAGGGTTCGACTCCCAGCTGCTCTGCTTCTGAGGCTGCTCCCTGCTGGGGTGGGGGGGAACAGCAGGGGACCCTACTCCGGTCCTGGGGAAACAGCAGGGGACGGCCCCAGGGCCTGAGTACCTGCCGACCACCTGGGAGACCCGGATGGAGTTCCCGGCTGTTGGTTTCTACCCCATCCTCCTCCTGGCTGCTCTGGGCATTTGGCAGTGAACCAGCAAATGGAAGCTCTCTCTATCACACACACTCTCTTTCTCTCTCATTCTGCCTTCCAAATAAATAAAACACACCTTTAAAAGAGCACAGCTCATCTATTTCTTACTTCCTTAGTAAGGTTATCAGACAGTGTAAAACTACCCACTTGGCCCACGTTAGGCATCTTGCGGTTTTTTCTGAATGGCACTAGAATGAAGGAGAATGCAGGGGGGTCCTGGGCACAGTGACTGAGACGCCACCCGGGAGGCTTGCTCCTGGTCCCAGCTCCTCCTGCCCAACCTGCACCTGGGGAGGCAGCAGTGGCGGCCCAAGGAGCTGAGGCCATGCCACCCACACCACTTCTCAGCTCCTGACTTCAGCCTGGCCCAGGCACAGCTGGTGTAGGCATTTAAAGACAATCAGCAGGTGAGACTGTCTATCTTTCCAGGCCTCAATCCCTCCATCCCTCTCTGCTTCTCTCCCCATCTGTCCCTTTGAAATAAAAAGAAAGGGAGAGAGGGAAGGAAGGATGGAGGGAGCGCCAAGTCACTGTGGAGCAGTTCTCGCACTGACCACCAGGTGGCACCCTTACCCCGGACTGCTGGGGGAGGAACTGACCGGTGACTTATTTCAAAGATTTTTTTTATGGGAAAGTCAGATACACAAAGAGGAGGAGAGACAGAAAGGAAGATCTTCCGTCCAATGGGTCACCAGCTGGAACTGAGCTAGTCTGAAGCCAGGAGCCCACGCGGGTGCAGGGTTCCAAGGCTTTGGCCCCTCGTCGACTGCTTTCCCAAGCCACAAGCAGGGAGCTGGATGGGAAGCAGGACTGTTGGGATAAGAACCAGCACCCATATGGGATCCCGGCGCTGGTTCACAATAGCCACTAGGTTATTGTGCCAGGCCCAACAGGTGACTTTTGTGGAGAGAGGTTTGTTCCCTACTATGCTATGATATGAATCACACTTTGGGTTCACTTGCCTGTAAATACCTGTGGACATTAGAAATGCATGGGGCCCAGTGTGATAGCGTAGTGGTTAAAGCCTCGCCTTGCACACCCAGGATCCCATATGGGCGCCGGTTCTAATCCTGGCAGCTTTGCTTCCTATACAGCTCTCTGCTTGTAGCCTGGGAAAGCAGTTGAGGACAGCCCAAAGCCTTGGGACCCTGCACCTGTGTGGGAGACCTGGAAGAGCTCCTGGCTCCTGGCTTTGGGTTGGCTCAGCTCCAGCCATTGTGGCCGCTTGGGGAGTGAATCAACGGATGGAAGATCTTCCTCTCTGTCTCTTCTCCTCTCTGCATATTTGCCTTTCCAATAAACATAAATAAATCTTAAAAAAAAAAAAAAAGAAAGAAATGCATGCCCACAGCGTTCTGTATAAAGAACAGCTTTTGCCCTCTGCTTTCAGTTGGCTTGGGTCAACTTAGCCATGGACAGCTGCCTGCCAGAAGGCTCCCATGGTGGTGCTGGCCTGGATCCCCACCCAGGGGGAGTTCCGGGCAGAGAGGAAGGGTCACTTGGGTGGAGGCTGACAGCAGTGCTGCCCCTTGCTGAGTGACAGGGAAGGGACAGCTCCCTGGGCCACAGAGACATAGGCAGTGGGTGCTTCTGAACAGGTGTTTTTATTGGGGACTTGGCATGGAGTGGCAGGGCCCACAGGCTTAGTTGGCTGCCAGGATCTGCTGCACCCAGGAGATGAGGGCGGTGACACGGGCATACACGGCAGGGGTGGAGGTAGAGCAGGTGCTGCTGCCCCAGGACACGATGCCCACCAGGGTCCAGGCGCCATTCTTCTTGCAGACCAGGGGGCCGCCAGAGTCGCCCTGCAGGAGGGAGAGGAGCCTTGTCTCCAGTCCTGGAGAAACGGGTGCCAGGGCCCAGGGCATCCTGGCAGGAAGGGAGGAATGGGGAGACACCTGGCTGGTGGGGCATACACCTGTAGCTTTGCCATCTACTCCCAGAACAAGGCAGCTGTCTCCCTATCCCAAGCCTCCCTGGGGCACCTGCAGCTCCCGGGGCTTGGGGAGGACTAAGTCATTGTAGGCCACCAGCTGCCAAGCAGCCCAAAGCAGGCCCGCCCCATGGACTCAGTCAGCCTGGGTTCTGGCCTTCCTGGGCACAGGGGTAGGGAGCAATGGGAAGCTAAGGGGGCTGAGGGGTGGGGAGCCCCGTGGCTGTGCTGCCTACATTGCAGGAGGAGACACCATTGGCGCCGGCACAGATCATGACGTCGGTGATCCGAGTGCCCCAGTACTTCTGGCAGTCAGCCTTGGACACGAGCGGCAGGACAGCCTGCTGCAGCTTGTCAGGGGTCGTGGTGGCTGTAGGAACACAGGGGGCCAGGTCAGGGGCCCTCAGCGCTCCCCAGGGTGCAGCTGGGCCTCAGACAGCTGTAGAGCAAGTTGCGTTCCCACATGCCCCCCTGTGCCCTGCATCTGCCAGCTGCTTCCAGCCTGTCGGGCAGCCTCCCTTCCAGGCAAGGCTACCAGTCGAGCAGGGGTCACACCGGGGTTGGGGCAGGGGGCAGTTTGCCTTACCACTGGATTTGATCTTGCCCCATCCCGTGGTGACACACTGCGTGCCAGCGGGGAAGTCATCGGTTGCCTGAGGCAGGCACACGGCAGACACGGTCTTGGAGAAGGTGGCGGGCTTGGCCAGCTTGATCAGGGTGATGTCGTTGCGAATGGTTAACAAGTTGAAGCTAGGGTTCTTGAACACCTGGGCAGAGACACCAGAGCGCAGGGTGAGGCCCTGAGAGAGGACTGCAGGTGGGAGTGGGGGCTGGCGCGGGCGGGGGTGGTGGTCACAGGTAAACTCCGCCTCTGGCGGCCCTTTCAAGCAGGAATAGACTACAGGGGCCCCGAAAGGAGCATTGTGAGGCCCCCCCAGGCCCTTCTCCCTTTAGCCCAGAGGGTCTTCTCCTCGTTACACACCCCTCGCCCCCACTGAGCCTCCCTGCCCCAGCCAGCATCCCGGTATACCTTGGCAATCTTCAGCACCTGCACGGCCTCCTGACTGGAGCCCTGGTCAAACTCCCCGGCCACGACCAGGTGGGAGGTACTGCACAGCACCAAAGAGAAGAGCCATGTCCACCATCAAGGAGGGCACCGGGGCCAGCAGGCACGTGTGTGTCCGCGAGCACCTGCCCCACCCCCTCACCATGTGCTCACGCACATGCGCGCAGAACAGCTGCAGCCAGCAGTAGCTACGACCTTGGCAGCAGTCCTGCTACAGGACCCTGGGCAGAGCGAATTTTCCAGAGTTCCAATGAAGGACACCAGTGAATGGAGGGCTCACAGGAGTTGTCCTAGGTGGCAACAGCTTTCCTCCCCCAGCCCATGCCCACAACCCTCACCTGACCCCGCAGTGGGCGGCAGTGACCACCCAGTTCTCATTGATGAGGGAGCCCCCGCAGAAGTGGAAGCCGGTGCTGTCCTGGGAGGAGAGAGGGGGGTGATCAGGGCTCCCCCCTGGACAGCACACCCAGCCTGGCCCACCTCCTTCCCCACACCACCAATCTCCCTTGCAGAATCCCACTCTTACTTGCAGGGACACCTGCCAGGGCCAGGATCCAGGGACAGCGTCCTCTCCATTAACAATCCTGGTCAGGCCTTTCAGCACAGGGGTGATGGAGGGGTTCCCACAGCCTGGGGGCGGGGTGGAGAAGAGCTTACCTCTTTGCACCCCAGTTACCTTCTCTGCAAACTGCCCCGGACCCCCCCCAACCTTCAGACTCAAGAATCTTGGGCACAGCTATCTGGTCCCTGCCAGCGTCACCGTGCTGCCAGGAGCAGAAATGAGGCTGGGTCGTCCAGGGCTGCAGCTCAGCCTCCAGGCCCACACTCTGCCTGGGACCCTGACCAGGCACAGCTGTGCTGAGGCTCAGTCTCCCCGTCTCTGAAATGGGGGAATGCCAAGTGTAGAGCACACAGCTCCTCTGTTAGACCCGGGGTAACCCCAAATCCTGGGGAATCCCCAGCACTGACAGCCCCAGGATGGAGTGCGCCGTATCCCAATGTGGGGCTCATAATAAATTCTGTTTTCGTGTCTGTCAGTCTCACCAAACATTCATTGTATGTGTAATAAAAGGACTGTTTCGCACCACAAGTGGTGCCACCCTGCGGGCAACCTCGCTTGACCCCCCTCGCTTGGATTTGGCCATGTCCAAGCCATTTTGGACATTTGGAAATGGCCGATACCCAAGCAGATGGGTGGGAGTATACTTCTGTTTCTCAAATAAGAATTTCAAAGCAGTGTCTGAAGCGAGATTTACTAAATCTTAACGTGATGTCACAGACAGTGCTGCTGTTTAACAGATAGCCCAATGCTTAGTGCCTGGTGAGTAACCCCGTGACCACACACTGCCCCCAGCACCCCACTGGATCCAGGGCAGGGCAGACTCAACGGTTCTGAGCCAAGCCCCAAGGTCCTCAGGCCCCAACTCTGCAGCTTCTCTATTGGGACCTGACTAACTCTCACCTGGAGTTCAGGAACTTCCATGCTAATGCCCCGGCCCCAGCACTTACCGGAGGCAGCCCCCAGGAGGGCGAAGCAGGAGAGGAGCCAAAGGCAAGCCATGGTGCTGCAGTCAGCCGGGCAGGTGTGCAGCTCACCTGCAGGGCCACTTTTTATATCCTGGGGGACTCCCCAAACCCCACCCAGTGCCTGCGGCCCCACCCCACCAAGGATGCTGGAAAGAGCCCTGCCCCTGTTATCCAGGGACCTTGGGCGATAAGTGGCCCCTCATGGGCTAGCCTGGCTCTCAGCCTGGAACACCTCAGCAGACTCTGGGAAAAGGACACCTGCTCATCCCAGGGCCCCACCCCCACACCAAGCTTCAGCCCTGTCCGAGTCCCCAGGGCCCGTCAGCAAGGCCAGGAGCCTGCCGCCCTGCTGGCGGAGGCTGGAGAGGACTCACACTGTCTCTCAGTGTCAGGACCCCTGGGATGGGGCCCTGGGCCTTGGCTCTCAGCAGAGTGCTTAATGCAGATTACCCGGAAAAGCAAAGGAGTGTAGCATAGTGGGGACCAGTGTGGAGGGTCAGCTCACCAGACGCCCAGCCAAGCACCGTGTTGTTGCCCTAACCTGTGGCCATTGTCGGCCACAGGACACTGACTCACTGAGGGGCTGTCCCTGCTTCTCTCAGGGGAGAATCATGTCATTTGTAGCTTTGATGCACGTGGCTGGAGTCACTGAGGAAGCAAACACTCATTCCAGAAATGTCAGCAAGTACCCAGGGACATGGGCAGGAGGGGAGGCCACGGGACATTTCAGCTCCCTCCACACAGGTCCTGCCTACCCAGCCACATGCAGTCCCAGCACGGAGGCTCCTGGGTGAGCAGTGTCCCCAGGAGGGGACAGCCATGGCTGATGCTCAGCAGGTAAGAATGGATAAAAGGGAATGCCCATGGTCACTGGAGCAGGGCAGGGGGATGAACACTCTGGGACAGCGGCAGCAACAGACACTCAGGCTGAGCCAGGACAAAAGCCAGTCCACGGAGCACCCAGTGCCACAAACTCATGACCCCAGCCCTGCCACAGTGCTAGTTCCCAGTGTTTGATTTATACATTTGATCTTGTGGACTGGCACTATGGATAAAGCTGCAGCTCCTGGTGTCAGAATTCCATAGGGACACCAGTCTGAATTCCAGCTGTTGCACTTCTCATCCAGTTCCCTACAAATGAGCCTGGGAAAGCAGCAGAGGATGGCTCACATCTGTGGGTCCCTGCACCCATGTGGGAGACCCAGAAGAAGCTCCTGGCTCCTGGCTTTGGTTGCTGTGGGCAGTTGGGGAGTAAACTCCTGCTGGTCTCTGTATTTGCCTTTCAAATAAATGAAAAATAAACTTAGAAAAATGAACACATAGAAGAGTGCCTCCCCCACCCACGCCCAGCGTCTGCTCCCCACTTTCCCGAGGGCACTAGCCCGTACCTAGGTACCCTTAGGCTCCCACAGCCCCACAGCTGCCCGATTCCCATTCGCTCAGCTGCCTGTACCAGCTGCGTACTCCCACATGGGTCAAGGCCATGTGCTCATGGCTACGTGGCAGCTCCTGCCAGGCCAGGCCCAGTGGCCTCAGGCTCACCAGGGCCCTCCCAGGTCTGCCCCCTTCCTCTCTCCATGGGGGCCCCTGCCTTCCGAGCTCCTCAATCCTTGGATTTTGGGGCTTCTAGTAACCCCAGACACTTGTGCCCAGGCCTGTCAGTATGCCTGGAGAACCTGGGGACTACTTCCGCAAACTCTGTTGTTAACTGCCCGTAGGCATCCACCAGCGATGGTGATGAGGAGGAAGACAACGACAGATCCTTACTTTACTCTTCTCCGTAAACCCACCCAGGGAAGCTCGCCGAACGAAGGGGCTTCTGTTTCTGTGTTTGGTCTACTCCAGCAGGCAGCTGCTGGTTGCTGGTCACCAGGCTGAAGGGCAGGCAGACCTAGCAAGGTGGCAGCTCCAGCTGCCCTGTCAACGGACTACCTCTAGGACAGGGAAGGGGCCTGGCCAGGCCATTTGTTGAAGGCAGATCCACCTGCAACACCAGCAGCCCGTGTAGGTGTCCACTGAAATGCCAGCTGCTCCACTTCCAAACCAGCTCCTTGCTTATGGTCTGGGAACACAGCAGAACACAGCTCAGGTCCTTGGGGCCCCTGCACCCATATGGGGGACCTGGAGTAAACTCCTGGCTCCTGGCTTTGACTGGGCTCAGCACCGGCTGTTGGGAGTCTTCTGGGGGGTGAACCAGTGGATAGAAGATTCCTTTCTGCTTGCTTTTCAAGTAAATAAATCTTTAAAAAGCAAAACAAAACAAAGAATGAGCAGCCTGGCTGGTGTGCTGGGGCCCAGTCTGCACCACACAGACCCAGCACCACACAGCATAAGGAACATGACCGAGGCCCCACAGCTGTCTACCATAAACCTAAACCCAGCCTGCCCTCCTTGCGGCCTGCGCCCTCTGACAGGCAGCCCCAGCCTGCACCCTGCTCATGTTCCTGGGGCTGGGAAAGCACCCTTTCCTGCTGTCCCCACCACAGTTCAAGGTCCAGTCCAGCACCATCAACTGTCACCAGGGTGCTGGCAGGGGTCCAGTCCAACCCTCTACCCACGTCCCCCACACACACATTCTCCCTGTGCACACGGGCTGGCTCAAGTGAGCAGTGGGCACTGTGCCCTCGAGACACTGCAGGCCTCTATGACCATCCCGGGCACTGGCGGCCATGGCCCTGGCCACCCACAGTCTCCCTGAAGCCTCTGACCTACACCACAGGAACACAACTGCTCCCCAAACCTCGCCCTGCTTGGGCACTGCCCAGGGATTTTTGAGCAAATTACTTGTCCAACATCCTCCAAGCCATGAGGGGCTGGGGCTTGGACACTGGCCTTCCAGGCTCAAGTTCTGCAAGTGCCAGGGCCTGAAGGAGGAAGCTCTGGGTCAGGGTCCCCTGGATCAGCTCCATGTTGCCCTTGGCCCTGGCCTCAGGCTCAGCTGTGTGCCCTCTCAGGCTCTCTTGGCAGTGCCGCTTTGTGCTCCTGCTGGACCAGACATCCACGCAGAGAACGGAGTGTCACCTCAAGGTCTCCAGATAAATCTAGCACACAGGGTGCTGTAACAGGGAGCCTGGGCAGGTGCCTTCCACCTGTGCACACAGCATCATGGCCATCCTCTGGCTCTTTTCCTGCTGCGCCCTCCTGGGCACTACCTACAGTAGGTGTTAGACCAGGCAGAAGTTACCTTGCCCCAGTCTTGCTGGCAGCGGGGGTCCCTGCTCCTAGCACTTAGTATCCCCCCCCCCAGCCATATCTCTGCCAGGGGTGGCAGTCCTAGTGCCGCCTAAGGCCTTGCACCCTGGTGGGGGCAGCTGGGGCCTGGTCCTCCTCCTCACCCCTGCCCTTTCCACTCTGGTTCACTGTACATCTACTGGGTGCCAAAGATACAGCTAGGCCTCAGCCCGCTGACTTGCTCATAACCCTGGAAGGCTGTGTGATGCCACTCCATTGTCAGGTAGACTGAAGCTCAGCAGTGTGGCCAGGGAGCTGAAGGCCCAGGACTAAAGCCATGCAGTTCACTTCGCAGCTCCCTGTGGGTCTGGCCTGGGTCAAGGTGGGTGAGGGTGGGTCCTCTGCCCCTCACACAGCCTTGTTTCCAGGGCTGGATACAATTAAGGCTGACTTCGAGGAGGGGACCGCAGGCTAGGACAGGGGTGCAGAGGAGAAAAGCTTGGGCCTTGGGATTTCAGTCAGGGTCTAGAGTCCACCTCTGTTTCCAGTTCTCACCCCAACCCGCTCCCAGCTGTGGGGTCCCTGCCATCAGCCCTGTGCTGACTGGCCTGTCCAGGATCATCAATGGCAAGACCGCTGTCTGCCATTCCTGCCCTGGCAGGTGTCCCTACAGGTCAGAGTGGGATTCCAGGAGCATGGTGGGGATGGAGGTAGGCCAGGTTGGGGGTGCTGTCCAGGTGGGAGATACTGATATCCTTTCTCCCCCAGAACAACACTGGCTTCCACTTCTGCGGAGACTCCCTCATCAATGAGAACTGGGTGGTCAACCTACTGTGGGGCCAGGGAAGGGTCCACCACAGGGTCAGGTGGGGTTGGGGAAGGAAGCTCTCGCCACCCAGGACAACCCTGCAAGCCCTCCAATCACTGATGCCCTTATTGGAACTGCATGGAAAATTCTAGTGCATTCTGGGTCTCCAGGAGGGGCAGGAGCTGTGTGCAACACCATGGTCAGGTGCACGCATGGGCTTCTGGACCTGACACCCTCCCCCTCCTCTCCGACCCCCTGCAGTACTTCTGACTTGGTTGTGGCCGGGGAGTTTGACCGGAGCTCCAGCAGGAGGCCATGCAGGTGCTGAAAATCTCCAAGGTACGAGGGCCTTGGCGCGGGCAGGGAATGTGGGGAACCCAGGACAGTGGAGATGGAGGCTGGGTCATGAAAGCAGAGAATCTGCAGCCAGGGGTGCCCTGCCCTTCCTGACGCAGTAATCCACCACAGCGCAGAGGCTGGGAGCAGGGCCTGGGCTCCCGGGGTGGTGAGGGGAGCTTGGGGAACTTCCTTGGGCCTCCCATCCTGGAGTCTTCCCCACACTCCAATGGCACCTTGTTTGGCTGCAACCCACAGGTTTTCAGGCACCCCAAGTACGATGAGGCCACCTCCGACAATGCCATCACTCTGCTCAAGCTGGGCTTGTACGCCAGCTACTTGCAAACCCTGTCAGCTGTGTGTCTGCGCAGTGCCAGTGCCAACTTTGCAGCCTGCACTCTGTGCCACCATGGGCTGGGGCATGACCAAGCACACCAGTGAGAGGCTGGCCAGGCATGGGGTGGGTGGGCAGCAGGGCCACAGGCAGGGCATGCTATGCTGACTGCCTTCCCCACCCCACTCCACGCACCAACACAGCTAGCAAGCTGCAGCAAGCAGCCCTGCTATTGTGTCCAGCAGCCAGCACAGCTGGGGCAGTGAAATCAGCAATGTGATGATCTGAGCTGGTGCCAGTGCTGTCTCCTCATGTGTGGTACAGGGTCTTGTAGGGCTCTGCCAGCACTCTCTCCCCTCCCATCTGGGAACAGGGGCCACAGACTAGCTCTTTCCCTTCCTGGAAACATTTGTCCAAGTGTTGGGAGCGACCGGTGGCCTCAGCAGAGGGGATGCAGCACTGAAGGCAACGGCCTTAGAGGTGCCTGGATGCAGAATTCCATAGATGCCATGTTGAACAGGTGTCATGCCTGCAGTTGCACAATGTATAGCCTGGGCAACAGGACACAGTGGCCTGGACTCCAGACTACACTGACCCACCTCTCTTACAGTGACCTCAATGCCATCCTGCCCACTCTCCTCCTGGGATTAGGACAGACCAGTTTTACTGAGCCTCCCATACAGGACCCCTCCCCTAGGACTAGCCCACAGCCCCAGGGTCCATGACCACATAGGAACTGGAGCCTTCCCCCAGCCCACCCAACAAGCTTTGCAGCGCACCTGCAGAAGGCCCTGGGAACCATGTCCAGGCTCCTGGTCTGGGCTGCCTGGGTAGCCAGATTCAAGCCTGAGGTCCCTGTCCCATTTCCTTCCTGCAGGGCGACTCTGGTGGCCCCCTGTTCTGCAAGAACAGCGCCTGGACCCTGGTGGGCACTGTGTCCTGGGGCAGCAGCACCTGCTCCAACTCCACCCCTGCCATGTATGTCCGTATTACTGCCCTCATCTCCTTTACAGCAGATCCTGGCAGCCAACTGAGGCTGCAGCTGCAAGCATGCCCCTGCCTTGGAAACTATGCCGCTGCTGTCTGGGTCCTATCTGAAAGCTGCTGAGCCAGGGATTCCTGGTTGGACCAGGGTGGGGAGAGGGGTTGTCTCAAGAGTCCCTTTACCATCTCCTTCCTGCACCCCAGGATGGAACAGCACCTGCAGGAGATGGAGGAGGGGTACGGGGGGATGAGAGTGGCCCAGGAGACCCCTGGCCTTCCCACTCCCTGCATATACCCACCCCAAGGCAGTGGAATCCTCCCCATGCCTACCTGGAGGCCCGCCCCCCACCCTATCCCACCGGTATTTTCAGGGTACCAGGCCCTTGTACTCCTGAGCCCCTGCCCAGCAGCCCAACACCCTGTCCCTCTATTTCTTCCTGGCTGGTCTGCCTGCCCCTGCTGCCCCTGGCTGTGCCTGGGATACCCTGTCACCTGGAAACGACTCTCAGAACAAATACGGTCCCCTCACCTCCTGTCTTCTCTATTCACTGACACCCACGGCCCCACAGAAGCTGGGGGAGGCCCGGGCTGCTGCACTTCCCCATCCACCTGCTCAGCCCCTTTGCTGCCTCTCAACTTGCGTCTCCCTCAGGTGCCCCAAGCATCCCTCCGTTCCTCTCCCCACTAGAGGCTCTGACAGCCAGGCCCTATTCCAGGACCCTGAGCTCAGAGTGGGGTGGGCACTTGCTCAGGTTAGTGCTCCTCACACAGTGACCTCACAGTGACCTGGGGGCAGCTGCTGGCACCCTGCAAAAGCCAGCTTCAGGCACCCTGGAGGCGAGGCAGTGTCAACCTTTAACTGCTGGCTGCCTCAGGTCCCAGCCAGCCCTGCAGTGTGAAATGCTGAGCCTCACCCTCCAAGCCAAATCAGCACAGGGACTCCCCAGGACTTGGCATTACAGACCCCGAAGCCACTGCTGCCCACCTGCCTAGCAGAGGACGGTGCTGTTCCCATTCACGGATGGAGACAAGGCCAGCCCTGCCTCATTTCTGCTCCTTCAGGCAGTGTGAGTGGCTCCGGCTGGGGTCCGTGCTGCCCACTGCGGGATCAGGTGAACCTTGATGCTCACCCCTCCCACCCTCAGCAACGTGGCAACCAGGAAGAGAGGAGCAGGAGAGAAACAAGTGGCTCCCACCCTTCAAGGCAGCTGTCTGCTGGAGACCCTCACTCTAGTAGGCCCCTCCCAGGTGCCCCACCTGCCACCTCCCTTCCCCAGGAAGAGCTGCCACTTGGCAGCCATAGCACACGACCCTGCCTCGTGGGACATGCGAACATTGATGTTCCCCCATCCCGGAGCAGCTTCCCGTCAGCTGCCCAAACCTGTAGGAGGCACAGCCAGCGCTCCAGCTCCCCACCACGCCCCTTGGAGCTTTCCCAAGGTGTCTTCAGAGGGTGCTGGCCACCTCTAACTCTGACATCCACCCTTCTCACCACAGCTAGCCATGTTTTAGACACCTGGGCAACTATTTTTCAGTTTTTAGAATTTTATTTAAACGTAGATCATTAGTCAAATGATTGGAAAATCAATAATGAAAAATAGTTGTTTAGGGTTTTCTCCCTGCAAGGCCGAGAGCCTGGCTCCACCTGCGCTTTGAGGATGGGGTCCTCGCAGGCAGCAAGGTGTCCCTCCTGGCAGTAGTGTGCTGTTGGCACAGCTGGCCCTAGCCCGCTCCTGAGGCAGCGCCGTCCACAGCCTGCCCTGTCATAAATACACACACTCCCCAGATGGTCGGGGCGCTGCACCTGAGGCAGAGCGGGGAGGCCTGTCCCCATGCCTGCCACACACCCCTTGCAAGGCAAGTGCCTGCATGCCCTGGGCCACCACTGGCCCCTCCCCTGCCTTCATTCTCCGGTGTCAAGCAGCTGCCAGCTGACCCAGGACTCGGCGGAACTGCTGGGTGCTGTGGCCCAGCTCCTTGACCCTGTCCACCATGTCTTGGGCTGCAGAGGGTGATGGGTACTGCAGGGCAGCAGCCTTTGTGGTGGCCACGATGCCACGCAGGAGGTCACAGAGCAGGTTGCTATAGTGCGTGACCTGGCTGCGCACGTCAGCAGCCTTGGCCTGCCGTGACAGCGTGTCCCCTATGAACACCAGCTTGTGGGCGCTGAGGATGACAAACTTGCTGTGTGCCACGAAGATCTTGGGTGGCTGGTTGGTGGCCACGGCGGTGAAGAATGCGTCCACGGCGTTGGTCAGAGTGGTCAGGTTGGCCTCGCACTGCTCCAGGTAGAAAAGCAGCAGCTGGCGGTCCGAGGCCCCCAGGCCGCCCGCACGTCCCGGTGCCAGGGGTTGGGCCGGTGTCCAGTTGCTCAGGTCGTGGTCGATGGGCCGCGAAACCTCTTGCTCCAGGCACTCAAACTGCTTCAGCTGGGACAGCAGGGAGGCAGCAGCACGTTAGGCCCTGGGACAGCAGGGTTCCAGCCCGGCCGGAGAGCCAGGCAAATGCCCCCGCTGATTGGTACCACCACTCTAACAGGGGTCACTGGCAAGCTGGAAAAGTGCCCGGCCCAACAGGGGCTACAGATCTGAATTTCCCTCCCCCTGCCAGCAGCATCACACCCTTTACTTCACATTAGGAAATGAGAAGACACCAAGATGAAGCATGGTCAGGGGATGCCGGGAAGCAGGGACAGGGCGTGTCCTGTCTGTGTCCCACACGAGAGCTATGTAAGACAGAGCCACAGGGCAAAGTACTGGGGACCAGAGCACTGCCTGTGCAGCTTCCTGTGGGTCTGTACATGTCCCAACAGGAAGTGCTCAAGGGGCAGGCACTGTGGCACAGCAGAACATGCTGCTGCTTGCTAGGGGAGAGGGGCCTGTATCGCCTGGGAGATGGCAGATAACAGCCTAAACACAGGGGTTCCTGCCACCCAGGGGGAGAAGTGGATGAAGTTCCTGGCTCCTGGTTTTGGCCTGGTCCAGCTGATAATGATGGACATTTGGCAGATAGAAGATTCTCTCTTACGGTGTCCCCCCATCACTACTGGGTTGTTCACATACATAAACAACTTTGAAATTCAAATACACCCAGTAGAAGAAAAGAAGCCTGTCACCCATGACCTCGGGAAACCATTGTGGTTAAATCCTGAGTACTGACTGCTTAAGATGGGGCACTAAAACACCACGGGAATGACATGAGTGGCTCCCCATCTCCCTGGGGTAGGGGGAGGGCCATGCTGAGGACAGTGGAGAGGCCTGGGAGGCTACTGTGTAAGTGTAGAGATGTTTCCACATCTCCACAGTAAAGACTGGAAACAGGACTAAGGCATGTGGTGGCATGTGGTGCCATACAGTCCTTAGCAAGGCGATCTACATGTGTACAAAACTGCTGCATTTCCTTCCAAGGCAAACACTCCCAATTCCACCTGGGAAAATGGTGTAAGCGTGCAGAAATGTGGGAGCCACACGTGTGGTGACAGGTCCTCATCTGGGCCATCTCGGGACAGACTCCGTTCTGCTTCAAGCCCTAATTGGCAAAACCCACCTGAACCGACCCTGACGAACACCTCATAGGCAGCCTTCCCCGACTCACAGGTTCATGTGCCATTACTTGCTCTGCCCTTTCAACCCAGGGGACACACCTGGTCCCTGTCTTTCAGAATGAGTCTGGTGGGTCTATTCCCTGCACACTCCCCCTGACTGCAGGATGCTCCCATTTCCTGCAGTGGGCACCTGGGACAGGGGCAGGGGCAGGGCGGCAACAGCCACAGTGCCTTCTTCCTGGGCTCCCATTTGGCCCCTTATTCCTACCCTTCGACCCAGACTCTAGTGGTTCATGAGAGGCTCATCAGACATATGCATGAAAGCAAAATCTGGGAATCATCTAAATGTCCAATTACAAAGAACTGAGTCCATAAACACTGCACAGTACTTCTCACAAGTGACTGTGTGCATATGTGCACGTGCACGCACAAAAATGGATTCTGGGGTAGGGGGAGGACCTGGTGAGGGTTATTGTGGGTTGCTCCAACTAGGCTGCAGCTCCCACTGGTTTATGTGAGGGCCAAGTATGTGCTGGGCAGAACCAGGCTGGACTGAACCAGGCTGCAACACCCACTGGTTCCAGTGGAAGGCGGGGCTGAAAACAGAACCAACCCAGCAATTGCAATCACCAGCTGATGGGGCAATGCACTGTGCCAGGTCCTGTACTTGCTAGTACATACAAGAATCTGGTCTGAGAACACCTCAGACAAAGTTTCTTTGGAGATCTCCCCAATCGAAATGCTGGACTCAGAACCCTAACCAAAAAAAAGAGAGAAGACAGAACAGGTCAATCAACCATCTCAGCTATATGTTGGCAGCGAAATATGGGCAAACAAAGACTCAACGATGGACTATATCATTTAGTGGATTCTTCAAAGACCTCATCGTGCTTGGAGTGGCAAGATTGGCAACGATTCATAATTGGTAAACCATCAAAACCACTTGAGCAAGAACCTCGGAGCATACCCTACATCTGGGACCTGGGGTGGGAAACTGGGTGGGCCTTCTCTCTTAATATCCTCCTTGTAACATGAAGGAAACAATATGGAAGTAATAGTCTTACCCACTTTTTTGTAGCCCTTGAACCTTTTTACCCTAATTAACTATGTAAAGATTGCCAAAAATATAATAAAAAAAACCAAAACCAAAAACGGATTCTGCTGTTTTTCTTTCTCATCCCAGAGTCTCACAGCCCATCTACATCACACTCCCACCACCCCAAACCTGGGCCTCAGCACCAACCCTAGTGGCACAGCAGTCTCTCTCCTCTGCCTTCTTCCTCATGCCCAGGGAAAGGTGTGATATTTTTGGGACTAGTACACTGGCACAACTAGCTAATCCTCTATTTCCAAGTGCTAGCATCCCATAAGGGCACCAGTTTGTGTCCTGACTTCCCATCCAGCTCCCTGCTTGTGACCTGGGAAAGCAGTTCAGGATGGCCCAAAGCCTTGGGACCCTGAAACCATGTGGGAGACTGGAAGAAGCTCCTGGCTTCAGATCAGCCATGACAGGGGCCTCAGCAGCAGAGGCAACAACAGTACTGGGAGAAGTTGGGGCCCAGTGCCTTACCTGCTGCAGCTCCAGCTGGCCCTTCCCTTGCCGGATGATGTTGCCCTTTTCCAGCAGCTCCTTCTGTGTCTTCTCAAACTCTTCCTTGCCCTGGGAGAGACAAGGAACGGACTGAGGCCTGTCCTGGATCAGAGGGAGCCATTGGGCTCTGAAGGACACAGTAAGGGCCAGCAGCCACCAGATGGTGCTGCAAGCACACACAAACCTGGGGCGAAAGAGCTTTGACATGCCCTGGTCCCTAGCTATTGTGTCCTGTTCTAGGCACTGGGTGCTAACACTTACTAGCTCGTCAACCATCCCCGATGGCTCAGAGCCCCACTACTCCTTGCTGGACCTCCTCTAGTTTCCCAGCATCTCCCATCAGGACGTTTATTTCTTCTCTCCACACTGTCATCCCTGCTGTGGTCACTGGAGTATTGGAGCACCTGACCAAGCTTGGCTCACGGTGTCTGGTGACCCAAGGATAGAGACACATGGCCCTAAGGGTCAGCAATGGGCTTCTAGAGAGCCATCTGGCCTGGAGGGTCAGAGTGAGAGGTTGTAGGGTCTCCCCAGTGCTGGGTTCCAGTACCCCTCCTGAGCACAAGAGCCCTGTGTGTGAGGCCCAGATGAAGATCTCCAGGACAGACACCCACCTGCAGGTGAACGTAGTCATAATCTTCCATCCAGCCTCCCTCACTGTTCTCGTACTGCCCATCTGGTGAGTCCTGGGAGGTGAATTTGGGAGGGGAGGGCAGGGGCCGTGACTGAATGCTGCTGGCCTTGTCAACATGGTTGGGGTGCAGTGGGCCACTGCCATCGGGCCCTGGGACAGGGGCCTTGGTCCGTCTGAAGAGCAACGAGGCGTTACCATGTAAGAAGGAAGCCAGTTGCTTGGCATCCTCAGGCACAGCCCGGGAGCAGGCCACGAGGCGGTCCAGGTCTTCAGGGGTGGCCCCCAGGCCTCCCCGGCCACTATCAAGCGCCTGGCCATGTACCAGCAGAGTTTGGTACACATCTTCCATCTTTTGCAGTTGTCGGCTGAGCTTGGCATGCAGGGTGCGATCAGAAGTATGGGTGGCATTGCCCACAGCACTGCGGGCAAACTCCAGCAGCTCGTGCACAGCCCCCTGGACAGCGGCCACTGCAGCCCGCAAGTCCTGCTTCGGTGGCTCCTGGGACTCTGTGTTGCCACGCAAGCCCCCAGCCCCGCCAGCACTCCCTGCCAGGTCCAGGAGGTGGGCCACAGTGGCACTCACACCATGCTGCAGCCGAGCCAGGGCCTCCACAGCCACTTCAAGCTCCATGGGTTCCCGGCCTGGCACGGCAGCCTCCAGCGAGGAGGCCGACTGGCTGCTGCGTGTACTGCCCGTGCTGGAGGCTGACAGACGCTTGCCGTCAGCTGGACCTTCTCGCTCAGCTGGGGGGGGCACAGAGTACACCCCGTCATCAAGCATGCCACTATCAGCCACCTCAGGAGGTGCCCGCTCCCGGGGCACATCATAGAGTGTCCCAGGGCCTGGCCGCCTCAAGCCAGGGGGCACGTCATAGAGGTCGGGAGCGGGGGGAGGCACATCATACACATCCTCGGCAGGTGGGGAGTCTGGGGGTGGAGCAGTGAGGACCAGGGGGTGGCGGGCTGGGTCGAAGGGCTTGGCCTTGGCAAAGGCAGGCGGCACATCATAGGTCTCCTCACGCAGCAGCTGGCCGTCAGGAACGTCCTTGCTCACCGATGGGGGGATGTCGTACACCTGGGGGCCAAGTGGAGGTCAGGACCGAGCCACAGCACAGGCGCACAGGCTCATGCTGTACTCGTGGGCAGTGGTTACGCTCAGAGCCCGACTGGAACGGGGACACGTCTGTCTCTGGCTGTCTGCTCAGCTATGCAGCAGGCGCCACCCAGCGCTGTGGGGATGACACGCACATTAACAACCCTTGGGGAAGGGCTGACAGTCCCCACATCATCATTGACTGCCCCTACCACCACCCAGGGAAGCTGCACAGCCTGGATGACAGATGCGGCTGCAATCCTCTCCAGGAGGCCTAAGACAGGCTTGTAAGACAGCCGGACTTCCAAATTGGTCCCAGGCCAGAGAACGGGCAGCGCTACACAGGACTGGTTTCCACCTGACTGTCCCACAGCCACCTGCAGCCCGGGCACCTGCCAACAACCTACCGCGTGGTGGCTGGAAGGTTGCAGGCCCTTCTCCACACTGGGAGGCACATCGTACACGTCCAGCAATGGGTCTCGGCCATTAGGACCCTTGACTGCCATGGGAGGGGTGTCATATACCTGGGAGCAGAGAAATAGGTACATGATACAGATGTCAAGGCCACCTGGTATGATGGGAAGAGCAGGAATCCCCCAGCACCCGCCAACCTTGGGTCCTGGGTCACCCTGACCCTGACCAGAGCCAAGGAAATGAGCTCCCCAAGCAGGGGCTACAGATGTAGACTCATCACATCCCCGCGTCTCACCCCCTCCAGCCTCCTCATCCCAAACCTACCTCCTGGCCATACTGGTTGGGAAGCAATCCCCGAACAGGAGGCACATCATAGATGTCCTGGGGCCCAGGGGCCAGCAGGTGGCGCGGGGTGTCATACTCGTCCTGCTCCGGCTGAGAGGCCTCATACACATAGCCCTGCCCAACTCGGGTGGGCACCACCACCTGGGGATGGACAGTCCACTTTGCCACTGGCTCTGGCACTCAGTTCTCAGAGAGCCACTCCCACTAGAAGGTGAGCCAGCTGCAGAGTGCTGCAGAAGGGCCCTGAGAGAGGGCTGGGAGGCGCTGGGTCCGTCCCTTCAGAGACAGACCCACAGGGTGTGTCCATAGCTGGGCCTCTGGAGGCCCCACAGTGGAGGGGACGTGCCAGGGACCATCGACCCTGCAGGGTTCTCCAGAGAACTCAGTCAAGGTCTCCTGAGTCTTGCCTGTCAGGGTTTCCCAGTTTCTCCTCTTTATCAAGGCTTGTCCAGGAAGGGATGGCCCCAGTCATGGCACCTAGCAGCCACCTCTAGATGCAGGAGGTACCAAGCAGGCGATTCCTGACAACCAGGTGGAGACCTGGTACCAAGGGGCAACGCTCAACTCCCAGGTGTTTTTGTCCTGCCAAGGCCAGGGCTGCTGACAGCCCCCACCAGCCTCCTTCCTGAGCATGCCAGGAGGCAGTAAGGAACAGCTGCCCTGTTTAGCCTCCCCCACAGGGCTCTCTGCTCAGCTCTCCCCACAGAAAGGCCTTTTGTTTCCTAATCAAAGGGGACGTCTGGGCCGGGGTTGACTCGGGCCCTCCCTATACATCTCTCTTTCCACAGACTCAAAGCTCCCAGAACTCCACTCGGGCACCACTTGTGGCCATGTGCTGGCTGTCCTGGGAGCAGCAGAGATGTGGCACCCACAAGAAGTGGGGGCAGCGCAGCCCCAGTGCTAGTGGAGCCGGGGTGCTCCCCGCCCCACAGTGTGTCTGGAAGTGGAGTCAGGGCTGCCTCTGCAGACTCCTCTCTGTCCTGGAGCCCAGACTTGAGTCTCGGCCAGAGCTATTTTTAGCTGCTAGGACCTGCCAACACAGGGGCAGGCGGGGCAGGCGGAGGCTGGAGGGACGTGGCAGGTTGGCCTGCCCCCATGGCAAAGCCTGGGGCTTTTCCAGGACACACAGCAGCCTAGGGGAAGGCAGGACACACCTCTGCTGCAGGTGGTGGGGGAGCCAGTATGAGTGGGGCAGGGCTAGACCCCCAGACTAGGGCAGCCACACAGCAGCGGGGCAGGCAATGGCAGCAGGAATGGCCAGCCAGGGTTTTCTGTTAGGAAAACTGAGTGAGCTGCCACCAGCAGCAAAGCTCATTAGTAAAAAAGATTCTTCAGAGAAAGGAACCCGATAATCAGAGGCCCACACCTGAGCCCCATTACAAGGGTCTGGTGGTCCCTGGGGTTGGGGACAGAGCCAGAGTCCAGGAGGAAGAGACAGGGATAGATGCTGCTGACAGATGCACCAGCTACCTCTGCACCCCCATCTCCCCACACAGAACCAGGCAGGACAAGGGCCCGCTGGGGTCAGGATGTCTGTCCTTCCACATTCCCCTCCCCAACAACAGGCACCAGAGAAGGAACAGGTGACCCTAGAACCATGCTCCAGCATCCAGGTCAGTCCTGGGCAGGGTCAGCATCCAGAGCAGAGATCAGGAGCCCCTCCCTGCCTCTACGTAATTTGGAGCTCATGTTCTGCAGCCAAAAGGGCCCTCATTCCCTGACAGGCCAGCTCCTTGTTCTAGAGCACCCCGTCTCCTCCAGAGAGACCTCATCTTACCGCTCTGGGAAAGTGCCCACAGAGGCCTGGAGGCAAGGCACTGCAGCACACTTTCCCTCCCCTCCCAAACTCCTGGCACCTTATGGCTCTAGCAACACAACTGTCCCCTTTCACACAGCTGCAGCTCCTGGCCCAGGATCCCAACAGCAGCCTCACAGGTGCCTTCCTTTCTGGGGTTCCCAACTGTGCACCCAGAGCTTATGCCCTCAGGTCCTGGGCCCAGGCACGGGCACTAACCACCCAGGCCCCATTGGCTACCCAGCCTTCCCCTCTGGGCCCCAGCCTTACTACACTGAGTCAAGCCCAGCGTTCCCCAGTCAGAGCCTGTGAGGGACTGGAACTGAAGTGTCTCAGGATCAGTGTCCTCGACCCACACAAACCCATTTAGCAGGTGAGAACCCCTGAGCACATGGTGGCCAAGCTGGTCTCCAAAGCTTCCCCTTCCTCTTTAGAACCTAGTCACTGTCAGTGAGCCCAAAACATGTGGCCACCAGGGAACAGCATCATCTTCCACCCCTCTGGCAGCTGGGTGGAGCACAGGCTTAAGTCCTGGCTGACAGCAGGACCATCTTAGAGGGTGCATCCTCCCTCCTGCCCCCAGCTGCCCAGACACAGCCGCAACACCAGGAAACGTAGGCCCATGCTGAGGAGAGAACACGGGGCCGAGTGGCTCCTGAGTGGCTCCCACAGTTAGGGAGGGCTCCTTCACTCCGTCTGCTCACCTCCAGATTCGGCCCCCATGACAAGGCCAGTGTGTCTGTTGTACCATGCTGAACCCAAATGAAGGCTGCTCTGCACTTGCCTTTCTCCTAAGGGCCATCCCAAAGCTCCCGTTCTCCTCTCAGGGATCCCTGCCCCAGTGGTGATCCCTCCAAGCTCTGTAGTCAGAAGGATTTAATCAAGGCGTGGACCAAGGACCAGGACACACCATTCTGATGCAAAACCTTGCAGCCTGGGGGGAGCATCCAGCAACTAAGAGGGCCCTAGACCCCAGAAAAGTCTGTTTCTAGCTTGCAGCTCTGGCCTCACCTGCCAGGGCAGGGCAGCTCTGAATGTCTCCATGCCGCAGGCAGGCCACACCCTGAGTCTGGGGGTCTGTCTGCTCATAACCTCTCTTCTGGGTGCCACAGCCTGTTCATGGCTGTCACCACTCAACAAAGGAGCACAGTCCCTATGCAGCCCCCTCCCACCTGAAATCCAGCACAAACATGGAGTGTAGAGACCCCAAAGGCAGCAGAGCCCTGCACCCATCCACCAAGGAGGCCTTACCTTTGCCTGTGGCTTCGTTCCCTCCCAGCTGCGTGCGTCCATGGACGGGGGGACCTGGTAGATGTCATGCCCCATCCCAGCGGAAGGGGGCACCTGGTAAATGTCCTGTGCAGGACTTCCTGGTCCCGGGGGCACCTGGTAGAGGTCTGCAGCTGAGCTGGGAAACGGGTGATGGGGTGCCTGTTTGGCGAATGTGGATGTCTGCTTGGCAGGGGGGGACTGGAACTGCGGACTGGGCGCAGGCGATTGGTAGAGCCCTTGCTGAGTCTTGCTGGGCGTGGGTACAAGGTAGACACTGTCGGACTGGGGCTGGGACGTGGCAGGGAGCATGGGTGCGTACTGGGAGGTAGGGGGCACTGCAGTGTGGAGGCCCTGTGGAAGACCAGGCTGCGGCTGGGGTTGGGGCTGGGATGGGGTGGCAGGTGGGCCAGGTCCAGGCCCTGCTGGCTTCTTGTCATACATGCCCACCAGGATCTTGAGTCGGTTTCCAGGCACGATGCCTTGGCGTCCATGCAGTGAGCAGAGCCACCAGCCGTCCAGGCCCTGTGTGTCCCGCTCCAGCACCGTCATGATGTCACCTTTGCGGAAGGAGAGCTCATCTGGGGACTCAGCCACGTTGTCATAGAGGGCTTTGGCCAGCACGTTCTGTAGGGAGGCGGGGGAGGAAGGTAGGTATGAGGGCAGGGCATGTGCACGGTCCCCTGGCTACCAACCTCCCACCCATCTCTGGGGCCAGAACGGCCTCTGCTTTGGCTCTGGTGAAGTCAGAAACCTTCGTTCTGGGCCAAACAAGCTCAGGGAACCAGAGCATTTCTTCAATGAACCTAGACAACATTTCAAGGCCTCTCGACAGCAGCTGGCCCCAGGGCCATGACAACAAGGCCACCAGGTTAGAGTCCATGAATGAAGATGACCTGTTACCTCAGATTCAAGAAAGTAATCTGATGAAAATCAAAACTTATGATAAACTAACAGAGCCCATTTGCCAAAAAAGTTATCAAACTACTAGAAAACTACTAGAAAAGCTGTGAATACTTTCCCCCTGCTCCAGCCCCAAGTCCTGCTGCCCTGGCCAGCACAACTCAGCAAGAGCAAAAAGTGAGCAGAGGTGGGGAGTGGCCAGAGAAAGGCACAGCCCACACAGGCGAAGCAGCCCCGGGCAGCGCATGGGATGCCCTTGCCGAGAGGCATGCCGGGTGCGTGTGGAGGCAGTGCGTGTGAAGCTCCCGGCTGGGACGCCCTCATTCCACACCAGGTCCTGGTCTGAGTTCCTGCTACTCTGTTTCTGACCCAGCTTCCTGCTAATACGGTCCTAAAGGGCAGCAAGTGATGCCTCAAGCCCCTGGGTCCCTGACCTGAGGTCTGGCTGAACCCTGGCTGCTGTGGGCTTTCTGGAGAGCAAACCAGCGGACAGAAAATCTCTGTTCATCTATCTCTCTGCCTTTCAAATAAAATGGTAACAAAACATGTATCTGATAAGAAACGTTATCGTATAGCAACAAAAGATAGAAAATATCCAGAAATCAATCAAGCAACAATTAGTTAAGACCTCAGGAGAAAGCGTTACAGTTCTGCCAAAACACAGAAGTTTTTAAAAAGGATTTATTTATTTTTATTGGAAAATCAAATTTACAGAGAGAAGGAGAAACAGAAAGATCTTCCATGTGCTGGTCTACTCCCCAAGTGGCCACAATGGCCGGAGCTGAGCCAAGCCGAAGCCAAGGAGTCAGGAGCTTCTTCTTAGTCTTCCACACAGGTGCAGGGCTGTCCTCAACTGCCTTCCCAGGCCACAAGCAGGGAGCTGGAAGGGAAGTGGAGCCCATATCCTGGTGCATGCAAGGCAAGCATTTTAACCACAGGCTACTGCACCAGGCCCTTAAGGAAATATTAAAATAAAAGGAAAACCTACCAAGTTCACGGGGCCGGTTCTAGTCTCACCAGCCTTGCTTCCCATTCAGCTCCCTGCCTGTAGCCTGGGAAAGCACTCGAGGATGGCCCAAAGCCTTGGGACCCTGCACCCATGTGAGAGACCCAGAAGAAGCTCCTGGCTCCTGGCTTCGGATTGGCTCAGCTCCAGCCGCTGCGGCCACTTGGGGAGTGAACCATTGGATGGAAGATCTTCCTCTCTATCCTTCCTCCTCTCTGTATATCTGCCTTCCAATAAACATAAATAAATCTTTAAAAAAAAAAAGAGAGAAAGTTCAATGTGGACATGTTACAAACAAACAGCAGTCAAAAGGCCAAAATGCAAAGATAAAGCACTAGCACAAGAGTGATTAGCCTAGAATTGGGAGTAATACCCACTAATCAATCAGGAAAGAAAAGAACACAAACAGAAAAATCCACCAGAGCTCACGAACGGGGCAAGCAGCTCTGAGACCCTGCCCGGCGGCCCCGGCAGGTGCCAGCACAAGGAGGTAGCACTGAGAGGCCTTGCCACCGCCCCAGGACCTCCACAGCACCAAGCACTAAGGTGGTCGTCTCCCCCTGCCTGGCTTGCCAGCCACCCCTCCTGAGAGAGGGCATAGTACAGGAGATCAACGGTCTCCTTTGTAACTGTCTCCAAAACAAGCTTATATAGTTCAGACATTTATCCAAGAACAGATTCCAAGCACACTGCATTAGCATACCAGGTGCTTCTAGGAGGAGAATAAGAGAGGTAAGCACAGAAAATAAGAACTGGACAGGCAGCAGGTGCTCCCCGTCCTGGGAGCCCATTTTTTCAGAGCAATTCAGAAAGGCCCTGGAGCGGACAGCCCGGACAAGCAAGATTCAGGGGAGCAGCCAGGCCAGGCACAGTCCAGGTAGTGACAAAACATCACCAAGCTCGAGGCCGGGGGCTTCTAGTGACTCTATCATCACCCATACCATAATTGTAACAGAATGAATAGGCTCAGAAGTGTAAATCATGTCTCAAAAACACCACCTGAGGGGAACGGCACTGTGGCATAGAGTGAAGACAATGCCTGCGATGCCAGCACTCAGTGTGGGCACTGGGCAGGTGTCCAGCTGCTCCACTTGGGATGGCCTGGGAAAAGCATAAGAAACTGGTCCAGGTACTTGGACCCCTGTAGCCACATAGGAGATGCCTAAGACACACCTGGCTCGGGCCTAAAGTTGCCTCTGCCATTGTGGCCATCTAAAGAGTTAACCAGCAGATCAAGGATCTCTGTCTCCCACCCCGCCCTGTATAACTATGACTTTAAAACAAACAAATAAAAAAATAAAATTTAAAGCAAAACAAAAAACTACCACCTGAAATTTTCTAAGGGAGAGAGGGTCAGAACTGCAATGTTCACATTTTGAGACAATGAGAGATAATTTCTCTTCCTGTTTGGTAGAATTTTAAAATTTGTATTTAATGAGCATTTCTTGCTTTGGGCTGAAAAAAAATCCACATCCTGCAGAAGGAAATAGTGGGCTCCCTCCTAGGCTTTCCAGGCAGCACAGGACAACAGCCGCTGTAGTGTGGCAGATCCAGGGGCCAGAGCCAGTGGAGGGACAGGCAGGGGCCTGCTGTCATGCAGCCCACCAGGGCTCATGGCGCCCATCCCCAGGCTGCCGGTCGGCAAGGAAAACACATTTCCCAAATATGGTCTGCAGCCTGTCTTGGGGAATCACATCTCGTCAGGAGGGCGGGACACCCGGCCCATCCTCCCCTAGTGACCCTAGAATACAGCAGTCTGCTGGGTCCCCCCAGTCCCTGCCCTAGTGACCACAGGAAGTGCCAGCAGAGTGAGTCACAGGAAAATCCCCTCCAGCCGACTCAGACCGGGTGGGGGTGCAGGCGGGGGACCTGCCCCTTTGAGGCCTCTGAACACTTCACACAGCGACTCAGGGAAGGCTGGCAGAGGGGCCCCAACTGCAGCAGCACTGGACACCCAGGGGAGCAGGAAGACTCTGCTGAGTGCAAGGTCTACTGGGTGTGGAGTGGGGCGAGGGTGTTGTCACCTGACCCAGGTGAACTACTGGGACCTCCCAGGGCCGCCAGCGTCAGTCACGATGTGAGCTCAGGATATGAGCTCAGAGAGCTGACTTCATCCAAGGCTGTCGATGGACTGTAACTGTGTAGTCTGGGATAGCTGGAGCCAGCTGGGAAGCACCTCGCGGCTGGGCACGTGGCACCAGGCGCCTGGCACCAGGAGCTCCTCTGCCTGCGTCAGCTGGCATGCTCCTGCTCCTACCCAAGGCGTCAGGCAGCCTCTTTGCCCTGCTCAGCCCACATCCTGGGCACTGCTGGTGTCCAGCCAACCAAACAACTCTGACGGGCCAAGCCTCCACCCCTTTGGCAACTCAGCCTTCCCAGCTGCTCCCCAAGGTCAAGCTGCTCCTTCTTTCTCTCTCAAATCATTAAGCAGCAGCTAAGTCTCAGGCCTGGGCCAAGAGCTATGACCTCAGGCAAGTCCTTGAACCTCTCTGGGCAGCAGGACCGTCTCCGGTGAGGTAACAGCCCTAATTTCACAGGATTGGCCCTTTCTTAGTAGGAGATGCACCTGGCTCTTGGTTCCTGTCAGCCTGGGGCTTACACTGCTGTCGGGCAGGGACGCCAAGGCAATGGGTCATTAGCGAGGTGCCATCAACAGTGGGTGACAGGGTTCTGCACATGGGTGTGCACAGTGTACACAGGGGACTTCAAAGATCTTGCCAAAAATTTTCATTATCTTTTAATTCCAATTTGAACTTTCACAAATATCTATAGGCACAAGGGGGGACGTGTCTTTTTAAAAGTCTTTGGCAAAAACAGCATTAAAAGGTAACATAAACGTCAGCCAGTGGCACAGTAAGTCAAACTAGTGCCTCCATGCCAGCACCCCCCAAGCACTAGTTCTAGCAGAAGCTGTTGCACTTCCTGCTTATGCGCCTGCGAAGGTGGCAGAAGATGGCTCTAAGTGCCTGGGCCCCTGCCACTCATGTGGTTCCAATCCCAGGTATCTGGGGCACAAACCAGAGGACATAAACATCTCTCCCTCCGTAGCCCTCTAATTTGCAAACACATAATGAATCTTGAAAACAAGGATAGCTTAAGGCTAAGATTCCAGCTATGACACCCACTGGCTTCATCCGGCTCTGGCTCCTGACTTCAGAATCCTGTAGACTCGGGGAGGCAGCAGTGACAGGTCAACTAACTGGATTCAACGCATCCACATGGGAGACCCAGAATGAATTTCAGACCGCAGGCTTTGGCCTAGCCCAGCCTCAGCCATTCCAGGGACTTGGGAATTCAATTAGTGGATGAGCATTCTTTTTTTTTTTTTTAAATTTATGTATTTTTATTGGAAAGGCAGATATACAGAGAGCAGGAGAGACAAGAAGAACTTCTATCTGATGGCCCATTCCCCAAGTGGCTACAACGGCTGGAGCTGAGGCAATAGCAAGTCAGGAGCTTCTTCCAGGTCTCCCATGTGGTGCAGGGTCCCAACGTTTGGGGACATCCTCAACTGCTCTCCCAGACCACAAGTAGGGAGCCGGATGGGAAGCAGGGTTGCCAGGATAAGAACCGGCACCCATATGGGATCCTGGCACGTTCAAGGTGAGGACTTTAGCTACTAGGCTATTGCACCAGGCCCTCTTTCTGTTTTAATCTTGCATCTCAGATAACACATTTTCAGTCTGCAAGCTCACTCCCCAAATGCCTACAACAGCCATGGTGAGGCCAGGTCATAACGAGGGGCTGGGAACTCCATCCAGGTTGCCCACAAGCATGGCAGGGGCCCAAGTTCTTGGACTTCCCAGATACACTAGCATGAAGCATGGAGTAGTCCACACATACCAGGTCCTCTGAAATGGTATGCTTTCATCAGCTGGGCCACAATGCTCATCTCCACTAACTTTCTGAAGCTTTTTCCTTATATAACTGATCAGAGACGATCTCCCCAAAGAGGCATCGTTTTGGGTAACTCCTATTGGAGAAGAGCCCAGGGTCAGAGGAACAGCATAAGGCCAAATGCTGGAGTGGGGAGAGGCTGGAGGCACGACAGGCTACCAGCCTGCAGCACCAAGCAGGAGTCAGTCACGCAGTTCCACGGACTCGTGCCTGGGTGCTTCAACACGTGGCATCCAAATGCTGACTTCCAAGGCCAGATCAGGGAAAGCCCACACCACTCCAAGTATTCCTGCTTTGGACATGCAGTAAGCCTTCTGGGACCTTGTATGTTGAAAGTCACAGGACAGGGAGGCCCTGGTGTGATGGCTTAATTGGCTAACCCTCCACCCACGAGTGCCAGGATCCCATATGGGCAGTGGTTTGTGCCCTGGTTGCTCTACTTCCCATCCAGTTCCCTGCTTGTGGCTTGGCAAAGCAATGGAAGATGGCCCAAAGTCTTGAGATCCTGCATCCGCATGCGAGACTCAGGAAACTCCTGGCACCTGACTTCAGACTGGTTTAGCCACTGCGGACATTTGTGGAATGAACCAGTAAATGAAAGATTTTTCTGTCTCTCCTCTCTGTAAATCTGCCTTTCTGATAAATAAATAAATAAATAAATAAATATATATATAAGATACATATATACATATATCTTAAAAGAAAAAGAAAAAGAAAAAGAAAGTCACACAGACCTAGAGTCACGCCCCGAGGGGAGGAAGGACCAACTCCCTCACAGCTGGGCAAGCCAAGCTGGGCCAATTAGCACCCCATCTCAAGCTCACAGGGCATCAGTGGGACTCTGTAGGATACAAAGCTAAGAAAAACCACTGGTCCATGTTCAGAGCACCAAGGGCTGCAGGATGATCTGCTTATGTCAGGATACACTCACATAGAGGCCCTCTGGAAGGCTTTGGTGTTCCTCCCAGGGTATACCTGCTCTCCGTTGCCCTGATTTCACAGTACTAACCAACATGTGCCACTGTCACCCAAGTCACATCTCCTAATGCTACCAGCACGGAAACCCTGGGCACGCATACAACAGTCCTGGCATAGGATGCAGCATTAGTAAATGTCTGATAACTGGCTGGGGTGGAGGGCTCTTGTCCTGCAGGTAAACAAGGAGGAACCCTGGAAGTTGCTCTGAGATTCACCCATCCCAGAGGGCAGCGGCAGAGAAAAACTCTCAGGCTGCAGCCAGCACTCCCCAGCCAGCCGCACTCTGAACATCATGCTTGCGGTGCACGGCAGCCGACAGGACAGACAAGAGCAGCAGAGGGAGGATGTTCCCAGCCATTGATGGGGATGCAGGTCTCCTCCTTCACTGCACGAGCTCCCTCGGGAGCCTTGAGCAAGCTGTGGGTGTCCCTTAACTTTGAATCTGGGGAAGAGTGGCTGGCAGTGGCAAGGGATGGACACACCACAAGACCTCCTCTCCAGGGAGCCTTCCCATGGTTGCTGGAAGTGAAGGCTCCTAGCAACCCCTCCCAGCAGAGACAGCCCAGGCCACACTGACCACAGCCCCCTCTGTCAGGCCTGGCTCTGTGTCTGATGTGCATTTATTCACTCAGCAAATATGTTCTTTGCATCCACAGCCCAGCCGTGGTGGGCGCCACCAGCAAACTGGAGATCATGGGGACCAGTGTGGTGCCCAATTTGGAGACGGGCCAGCTCCTCTGACTGCTTTGTGAGCTCCTCACAAGGTGGGCCAATCATTATTCCAACTGCAAACTTGCAGGGCTAGATCTGATGGTACCTCCAGTCCCGTCCCAAGTTGGTGGGGATAGGGAAGGGGGGAATAAGCAAGAGAACAACAGTGACACAACTGACAAGTTCCTGACAGTAATCGAAACAGCACATAACTGCACGCCAGGGGCAGAACTGCGACATGCTCAGTGATTACCTCAGGGAACCCTCAAAACTACCCCATGAGGCATGTGTACCCCATATCCTAGACAGTGTCCCTGACCGGGTCCAAGGCAGACCTGGGGTGGTGAGATAAAGTGGAACTAAATGGAGTAGAAATTCCAGAGACTGTTCCCATCCCTGGCCTGTTCCACCCCTCACGCCATGTTCTTCCCCCTACCCCTCTCCCCCACCCTGGGCACTCAGGAAACACTGGCTCCCTTCACACCCCAACCTTGGCGAATGTGGGCCAAGTTCACTTCTGGAGGATTCTATCTGCCTGGTTGTCACTGGACACAGGTCCAATGAGTATGCTGCACCCCCAATCCAGCCTGTACCTGGAAAGGCCAGCAGCCACAGCCCTGCTGCCCAGCCAACTCACCCTGGCTCCACGCATGCGGGAAGGGGCAGGGGTTGGGGTGAGGAGCACAGGATCTGTCCCCCTCTCTGTTCAGATGTCCTGGGTGGAACACTGGGGCCTGCCCTGGGCATCCTCCTCAGCTACGGTCTGGGATCAAGTCCCCAGGCCCAGCTGGCAGGGAACAAGAGCCCAGATGAGCCCTGCACTCCAGAGGCACCTCTAGGGGACCACTGTTCCCGTCCTGTGCCCAGGAGTGCATGAGGCCCCAGAAAACAAAACAGAGGTGGCGTGTGAGATTTCAGTACTAGGTGAGGAAAGGCCACCTGTGTGGGCAGAGCCACAGCCTGGCCTCAGCTACCGCAGCTACCACAGCTGCCTCTGAGTCCCGGGTTGTCTGTGAGCGATCCTCCTGTCCAGGGGCTCCAGCCACTGTCACAAGAAGTTGGGCAGAGCCAGAGTTTGGTGACGATCTTCCTGTGGTTAACATGGTGACTGCAGCTCCCAACAGCACCATGAATAGCGGGGACAGGCCAGAAGGCCCCACTAGCAGGATTCACGGACTCTCTTGAGTGCACGGCGTGAGGCTGATCGTCACTCAGGGACAGCCCCAGATTTGTTATGGAGCGGTCCAAGGGCCAGGGAAGGGCCAGGAGGAACTTCATCCCTACAATTCTACAGCATCTCCATAGCTATACAGAGACTTCCCCAGCCCTAACACACCATTACTGCCTAAAACGAGATCGAAACTAAAGATTTCTGTGATGCTCCAGTAGAGATGAAACCCTGCAGAGCCCCACCCACGGAGGAAAGGATCTGCCACCTGCCGTGAGGACAAGAGACCACTCCTCCACATGCCTTAGCCTCTGGTCCATGGGAGGGTAGGGGACTGGAAGTAGCTGTCTCAGGGTCTCTCCTGACAGGAAAGATGCCCTCATGGCACTATGCTTACTCCACTCCCCTGTCCAGGGTTGAGGAGGCAGTGGCAGCTCGCAACACAAACAGGCCTCCTTCACCCAACAAAAGGTGGCTTTCCTGGCACAGCCTGGGACTGTACTGCCAGCTCTCACAGAGCAAGCAGCAGGTGGGTGCTGGTGCCCAAAGGAGATGGGGCAGCTCCTCTCAGGCTCCACCTGCCCTGGAGCCAGGATGCTCCCTGGCTTGCCAGCCCTCTGCCCCACCCAACCACCAGGCCCACAGCAATGGTAAACACCTCACCAGATAGAAATCAACAAGGGCACACTCACCGTTATTCAGCAAAGCCACCAAAGCAACAGCCAGGTGTGGGTGTGCCTCAGGTAAGCGTTACAAGGGAGGAAATCAAGTGCTCTCAGGGTCCCCAAGGGGGCTGCGGCTCTCAGACTGGGATTCGTGACCCCAACAGGCTGCCATGCCCAAATCTACACTTGGTCCTGAGCAGCCTCTACCCTGGCTTGGAATCGAAGGTGAAGTTGCCACTGACCAAGCCCAAACTAACAACCCAACTCTGAGGGACATCAGGCTGAAGGATCCCCAAGAAAGGACCCCAAAATTCCCATCTGATGCTGCAATGAGACCCTAACCAGTCAGTGACAATTCCCGCAGGCGAACCTTTTGGCAACCAGGGTAGGGAAAGATCGAGCAGCACCCTCCCGCTCCCGGAATCCAGCGCCGGGGGCCGGGGTGAATCATTAACCGACTCAGGCTGGGCGCTCTGGCAGTGCCGACTTCCCGACGAGTCTCTCCGCCATCAACCCTTGCCTGGTGACGATAGGCAACTCCATTCCCAAAGAGGCAGACACATCACCACCAGGCCTGGGAGCACGGTCAACCTCCTGGATCCTCGACCCTCCTCGCATCCGAGGAAAATGAGGCTCCAAGGCCAGCGCAGAGGCCCAAGGTCACCAAGCAGTGGGCGGCCGGCAGACGGAGAACAGGCCTCTGGGCAGCAACTTTCCCAGATCCAAGAACTTTCCGGCCCACAGCCCCGAGGCACGCCGGCTCCAGGAGCCCCCAGTCTTCGGCTTGGGCGCCTGGTCCACGAGCGGGCCCTAGCCCGGGTGGCCGCGCCCCCCAGCCTTCAGCCCGCAGTTCCCAGGACCCAGGGCCGGCAGGAAATGCCACTTGTTTAACCCCTTCCAGCCCCGGCAGGGCGGCCACTCGAAGCCCCAGCGCGGACCCCGCCCCAGCCACTGCCAGCGGCTTCGGGCCGAGGCGTCACACTCACCAGGTAGTTCATGGTGTCCCAGGGGCCAGGGGCCCGGCTTTCGGAGAGGGCGCACGCCGACAGCCCGAGCAGCACGCTCTCCCGGCTCCACAGCTGCCCCGGTCCCGGTCCCGGTGCGGGAGCCTCAGCCGCCCAGCGCCGGTCGCACCTCGCTCCGCCCGCCGCCACCGCCGCCCAGCCCGGCTCCCGGCATGCCCAGCCGCGCGCCCATTGGCCGCCGAGGCTCTCCATGCAAATGAGCCGCCTGGCCGGGGGCGCGGCGCCGGGGACGCGGGCCCAGCGCACTGCCTCCCACCCCAGGGTGCTCCCGCGGCTCGGGGGTGCCCGAGGCCGGCGTCAAGCCTACCACATGGGACGTGTTTTCCTCCAGGACACCGCCTTCACGGGGCCAAAACGCGCCCCTCCTGGAAGGCTGAGGCAAACGCCTCCACTCTGGGAGGACTGCCCGACGGCTCTCACCGCTGGCGCACCGAGGCACTACAAAGCTCCTTGCCTCTGCAGATGCCAACCTCACCCTCCTGCTCTCGTGAATCGGAATCTACAGGGAAGGGGGCGGGAGCATGCGCGGTCTGCAGGATTTAGTAACCAGCCTAAGGGGGCCCCATGAGCCGGCCAAAGGGGTAAAAAAGACTCCAAGCAAGGAGACTTTAACATGCCACACCTCCAACCCTGCATTCTAGGTCACTGGGAACGCCAGCTATCCCAGCTTCCCCATGCTGCCATTGAAGAGTCCAATCTCCCCCTCCACGCCTGAGTTCTTCCCTAGGGTTCCACACTGCCCCAGACCCCATTCTTGGGTTAGGCCTAAAATCTGTGCCTAGCATCCTCCTGGGTCCTGTTCCAACTCCTGTTTCAGCAACAAGGGTGGTGGGAGGGCATCAAAAAGGGAGATCAAGGGAGCGAAGAGCCTTGGCTCTCCTGAGCGCCCTCTGGTGCCGGGACTGCAAGTCGCCGACAGGCACCCCCTGCACAGAATCCTGGTGCCAGGGTCCCTGAATACATTCTGAGTGTGCACAGCGGTCTGCACAGAGACCGAGGGTGGAATCTGCTCCTGATTGGACAGCATTCCAGGAAGGCAACAGTCCAGGGACCAGCACTGTGGTGGTGTGGTTAAGCTACCATTCAGAACACTACATCCCAGTTTCTGGATTTGAGTCCTGGCTGCTCTGCTTCTGATCCAGCTTCCTGCTAATGTGCCTATGAAATTCTTGCCTTCTGGCTACTGGATGTTTTGGTTATTCTGGCCATTTTGGAAATGAACCATTAGGCGACTTCTCTTTCTCTCCAACACACCCCCTCACCCCCTACAGCCTTCCCAGAAAACATCAGTAGTTTTTTTTGTTTTTTTCCTTAATAGTCCTAGGGTCCACCCAGTGCCAGCAAGGCAGCTCCCTGGTACAGGGCAGCTTTGCCTGCAGAGAATTCTCATGCAAGAGCCCAGGTGCCCCTCCAGCTGTCTGCCACGGGGCAGGCACCTGACACCCAGGTGGAGCTGGCTGTGCCCTGGCCAGACATGCCACCATCTGTTCTATGAAGGGGCTGGGCCAGGACAGCCCCAGTCTGGTCACTTCCTGAGGCCCGCCTCTCTTGACGCCCTGGAACAGCCCTCCTGCTTGTCCCCAGGTCATCTTTCCCATCCAGACACTGCTCCTCAGCCTGGGGGACCAGACCCTGGTCTGACAGTGCTTGGGGCTCCCCCCCTGTGAGGAGGGGTGAGACCAGGCCTCAGGCAGGTTGCATCCACTGACAGGCAGCAGGCCTCTGCAGAGATGGGCAGGGACTTAAAGGCCTGGCCCTCAAGGAGGCTGCCTCCCCCACTCAGCCCTAGCTGAGTTGGTTGGTGGGGAGGCAGGGAGAGACAGGGAGAGGGAGTGGTGAGCAGTGCAGAGGTGGCTGGTAAGGGATGGGAAACCTTCTTCTCCCTCCCTCCCTTTCTGGAGCTACAGGAAAGTGGCACTTGGGGGAGGGGCTGCTGGTGTGGGCGTGGCTGCGGGGGAGGGGAACCAGCTCTGCAGAGGCATTTCAAAAATTTGCTTTTTTTCTACTTAAACTACCCCCCCTCCAGCCTGTGCCTTCCAGAATGGCATTTCCGCTTTGGAAACAAGGCCCTAGGACCTACATCCCGCTTTGTGGAGGGGGCTGGTTGGGGGAGGGGCACACAGGAGGCAGAGTCTCACCTCATCCCAGCCCAGCCTCCCAGAGTGCCAGGACCACTTGCTCACTGCAAGCCTTGGCAGCCCTGTGAGATGAGCTTGGCCATCAGCCCTGACAGATCAAGAGACCCAGTTCACCAGGGGCACACCCCTTGCCCTACCCCACACATTCTCAGGCACAAAAGAGGCAAAGCTGGCAGCCAGGGAGGGCAGGGTAAGGCTGCTAGCCCTGAGACCATCCTGACCCCCCTGCAGCAGGGAGACTGTGGGGACAGTTACCCTCTATGCTCAGAAAGCCAAAGACCACGCCCCCATCCCACTGGGGACTCCGCGAGGACAGGCAGAAAGCACGGCAGAGCTCAGCACTGGGCAGGCAGCAATTCCTTCCCACCCGAGGCTGGGGAAGAGGTGGAACCTCCAAGGTGGCGGGGAAGGGGATGAAGCACCGACCCCCTCCAGCCCAGAGGAGTGGAGAGTGCGCACACCTACACACCCACACGGCAGGCCTGGCAGAAGGAAGGAGTGGGGGAGAGGAGGCCGTGCCTGCAGGGACCCAGCAGGAGGCAGGAGCAGGGCCCTGCCCAGCCCCTTACAACTGTCAGTCATCCCTGGTTAGAGGCCTGACAGACCTGTCAGACCTCCTGGTTAGGCCTCCAGACTACAGAGAAGCCTGCTGGCTGCAGGGAGATGTCACAAGCCCTGGGAGCCGAGAGGTGCCGGGAGTGCAGGGACCTGAGGGAGAACACAGGGGCCCTGGCTCTCCTTTGTCCATTCCAGTGTCCACTGGGGAAGAGGCCGCTAGGTGGAGAGAAAAGCTCAGGGTAGGGTCTGAGCTGAGGGCGCTCTGCGGCCCTAGTGCCAGGGCAGACACACTGCACAAAAGAGCTTGATGTCCAAGAACTGTCTACTGCAGCATTTAAAACAAGGGAGGTGGGGAGAGTGCATAAAATAAATGCCCAATTCTAGGAGACTAGCTAGACAAACCGGTCATTCAGTGGAATATCATGCAGAAAAACATTATGTGCAAAGAACAGACTGAGTGACCTGTGTGGATGCTGTGATGCCACCAGTCCACTCCAATCTTCTGAGGCCTCGGCTTTCCCAGCAGCACCAGAGGCGAGGCTGCATGGGTCAGCTGATGGCCAGTCCTGGAAGCAGCAGCAGGAAAGGATTTCCTGAGGCCGGAGGTCAGTGCTGCCAGCCCCAGGGACAGGAGGAGGAAGTGATGTCTCTGGAGAGCCACAGGGAGCTGCACAGCTGGCTACTTGCAGAGTGCCTGGGTGCAGACCCCCATGTGTGCACGGCTCAGGCACCCAAATGTCACGCACAGGCAGGTACCTCATATTCAAGAGTCCCTGATGCTCCCTGTAGACCAGGACACAGCTACACTAGCCAGTGGCTCAGAAGGGGACAGTGCATTCCCAGGTCACATAGCCAGGAAGCTGCAGCACTCACAACCCTAACCCACCCTGAGCCCCAGGTGTGACCCCAGGAGGAGCAGCCAGGGAGTACTAAGGGTGGGTGCCACAGCTATCAGCTACAGTGGGCTCTTTCATCTTCCAAGGTGCCCTTGGGTGGCCTGTTCCTCCCACTCCTGCTGCACCTTCTCCACCACCTCCCTTGCTGGTGAGGTCCTCCCTGGGTGCTTGGTCCCCCGTGAGAGGCTGGAGCCTCCACGTACTCTGCCCTCTGCTGCTGCTGGAACCTCATGGCTGTGAGCGCTCCCCATGGCAGAAGCAGCCCCTCACACTGCCTAGGGGCGGAGGTGTGGAAGGGCACATGGGTGAATTAAATGAGAATTGGGGAAAAGAGAGATGAGGGAGGAAGAGGGGCAAGGGGCAACATCCTGTCCTCAGGGAGAAGGCTCAGCTGCTGGTGGGCTGACAGCTCCTGTGTGACAGCCTGGGTGGGCAGGGACAGGGGTGTGGTCAAGAGGCCTCCCCAGCTTGGCCATCTGCTCTCCCTCTGCTATGGCAACCAGCCCCAGCAGATCAGGTAGAGGGACAGCCATCTGCCTGCTCTCTCACCACTTCTGCCACACACAAGTGCCCATGCCCACAGACATGCACAGCCACAGCCCCAGAGGCAGCAGGTCGGGGGCAGCAGGGCCACAGGAGGGGGCCCTGCAGCTATGGGGTGGGAGGAAAAGAAGGGGTACCCAAAGGGCCATGCTGTGGGCTATCTTGCCTGAGCCTGCTTTAGTCTGCATGGAAAGGCTCTGCCCATTCAGGCTTGGTCCCTAAGGACAATAGCAGACAACTTAATGACTGTGGCTGGCCATGGCCCTGCAGCCCCAAACTGTCTATTAAGGGAAGTCATGCCAGCAGCCTGGCCAAGCCCAGGTGGCAGGTTGCCGGTGCCAGCAGTGACACACCAGCTAGATACCAGTCCCACCCTGATGGGCACTCTGTGTTACCCCACTAAGCAGTCCCCAACCAAGCTCTTCTTGTCCTCCCCAACTCCTGCACAGATAACTTTCTGCAGGTGCCTTGAACTTCCCTCTCATCTGAGACTCTGGGTCAAAATCTACTCTTGGGGCTCTGGTGCCCATCTCAGCAGCCCAACTGGGGAAGGGGTGGGCAGGAAGTGGAGAGAAGTGACTTTTGGGATTTGCCACTATGGTCCACACTTCCTCATTGACAGCACAGTGTGTCATGCCAGGTGCTGAGCTAGCACCCTGCATGAATAGCCTAAGTCCTCAGGGTATGTGTACTCCAGCTGTGTGTGCACTGGGCGCTGGGGGTGGGGATATAGAGGGACAGGATACCCACCATGTTGAGGACTCCGGGGGAGAACAGAAAAATGGCCAAGTGGTAGGCTAGGGCTATTATTTTAGACAAGGTGCTTGAGCCTCTCTGAGGAGGCAGCATTTGAGCAGATGTATGAGTTTCTTGCTAAGACTAATTATACAGGAAAAAAGTAACCGTAAAGCTTCATAAAAAACTCATAGGCAGCCCGCTCCTTGTGTGAAGTGGTGCAGCATAGGCATCTCAGAGAC